AGCAGGAGAAGCGGAGGGGGAGGGGAGACATCTCAAGAGTGCGTCGGGCCAAGTGCGCGAGTGTCGTCACATCCGGTATTCGGGGTGGCGCTGTACTGTGGCCTGGCCGTGTGTGCGTGTGCGATAAAAGCCGACGTGCACACACACTCGCGCGCGTACCAGCACGCATAGGGTGGAGTGAGAGCAGCGTAACGTGACACAACATTGGTCCGTGCACCGTGTACACGGAAAATTATGTGGCACAGGTCGCTGGGATTCTACCGATATGGGCTGTCACGTGAGACGAGCATATGCCTCCTCGTTTGGCCTCTTGAAAAATTCATGCCCCGCTTCTGCCGCTACGCTATCGCGCCGCGGACTTTAATGCGCTTCCACGATGGCCGTCGTCATCGCGTACACCAAGGATGAGATTCCGATTGCCGAGCGTCCGTGAATCGGCTCTGGCCTGGTAAACCGGCGCGCGCGTGCCACGGAACGAATACGAGTGCAACGAATTCCGAGCTATGCGGAAAATCGTATTTTCTATGCCGCCGGTACTGTTACGTTGTTACGCGTGGACCTCTCTCGTTTCCGCTGCGAATGCCCGGCATACTGAGAACGCCGCGTACCACGCTGTCATTAACGATTCGGCTATGAAATGCGCGCGATATTGCCAAATTACTAACCGTTTCCATCTCGTCCACCTCGCAATTCGTAAACGATATCGTTCCACGCCTGCTTTATAATACGCGCCAAACAGGACGACCATGTATGACGAAAAAGGAAAAAAAAGAAAAAAAGAGAGAAAAAGACAGGAAAAATTGAGAGAGAAAATAAAACGAGATGGCCTTTCCAAAATATACGAGATATTGCGTCTTAAAACGGAGTAGTAGGATATTGGTTCAATTAGAGACAATAACGGTCGAAGAATAGCGCACGGTCGTTCTAAAAGTAGCTTGAACATCGAGCGTTAAACGATATGCTCCCGATTAAACTGGGATAAAGCGCGCGAGATCTGTATGGCGAAGCGAGGATCATTGTAGAGAGAAACGCCTTCGCTCAGTACGTCCCTGATTGTTACGGAATAGAGACGCGGCAGAAATAGCATCGTTCGTCGACATTCCTTATAATCCAAGCGTCTGAAACGCAGGGACACACAGGGAGATCGTGTAGGACACGATGTGCGCCGACGACGATTCGTTCCGCGTGTACGTCTTCGCGCGTCACTATACTTTCCGCCCGTGTACGTCGTCATACGGAGAATCCATCGGTGTATATACGTCGCCGCGCGCAACACACGGACCGTTCCCGTACTATTCCGTTTTCTAGAATGTGCCGTATGCCGACGCGCCTCGTGGCAGCCAATTAGATTTCTTCGTGGCCTCTGTGGACTGGCAGTCCCGAGAACACGCGACTCGAAAGCTTTCTTCTTCCTTCGTTCGAACGAGAAACGGCCTCGCACTCGCACTCGTACTCGTGCTCGCGCACCATCCACCGTATCGTTTTCGGTCTCTTTGTTTCCTCGCTGACACCGAACTGTCAATATCGCGAAACGGCCGATAATGTATCGCGATCACGCTGGAATCCAAACACGCTTACGTATACTCGAAACCCGATTACTTTTCCCGACACCAGCGCCACTGTTTCGCACCGTTAACACCTTTTATCTCGATTCCTCGTTTCGGACGCGTTATTCTTTCGAATCGTAATCGCGACGGTTATACGAACGAGGCGCCACGAGCGAGCTTCGCGGAACACTAATGACGCGGTCGGGGTATTACCGGCTGTCTGACGTAAAGACGAAAACTTGGAACGTTTGGTCGTGTTATCGTTGGTCGAGGGACGACCTCGAACGGGCCGGTGTTCGTCGAACGTACACGCGTATATACGCGAACCCGCGCGCGACCAAGTTTGCACGGACACACGTTTAAGAGTCACGTGGCGCTTGACGTCGCGACGATGCAGCATTTCATTCACCACGATCGATTTCATTAGCGAAACGTCCACGTTCCGCCTCGGCGAAACCTTTGAATCGACCGACGACGTTCGCCTATCGCGAAATAATTTTCCGCCGACATATTGATTTATCTGGCCGTCCCGGTGCACGCCCGTCCCAGTCGATCATCGGCTACCGATGACGCGCGTCGATAACGCGTCACTGACGTTTCGCTCGCAGACGAAAAGCGCCACTATCGTTTTCCTACTATGTTCCGCCGCGTTTATTCTCGTCGCCACCATCGTCGTTCTCGTCGTTCACGATGAACGACCTCGGGCTTCCTTTCTACGTATGTACACGGGGCACGTGACACGGTTGACGTTTACGTTGCATTTTTCTCACGTGTTCGCCAACGTCACGCGTTATTCCTACCGATTGTCGGCCGCCTATCTTTCCAATCCGAACCAACGTTTGCACGATATACAACGCGTATACATTTTCGACTCGAGGGAGACAAGGTTACACGCAGGTACATGCCGCGAACAAGGAAGAAAACTGCCAGATCCGTCGAGCGTTCGCGGTACTCGCTGACGACAATACACAATAATCGACTATAGCTACGCGTTAATTAATTCCGCGACTATGATATCGCGTCTGTAATATCGCCGTCGACTTCTGACCGCGGAACCTTCGCGATTTACGAGCAATCGACGCAAGAGTTACGCCGAAGCTTCTTCTTCCGTCTTTACCTCTCTCCCCTCCCACCCCCCGTGATCCCAGCCGCCATACGCTCCGGGTACACAAATATTTGCCTTGGGCCGAGCACAGCAGCGCCTGTTACATCGGCGTTGCATAAAATATTGCGTTCTACATTATCGTCCGAGGTCGACAAAGGGAATCGGGTTGCAGGGTTCTTTTCTCCGCTTTGCCTCTCGTCGTCTCGGCGGAAATTTTGCGTCGCGTGACGGACAGCAATTTTCAGTCCATTACGCGATTGAACGTTAAACCGGCATCGAGTAGGAAGCAATAAAGCCGGATACGTATGACGCGTTATCAATGGCGGATAAATCGCATAAACGGGGGGGTCCCGCCTCGTTTGCGCTTTTAATTTCCCCGGGTGAACCGACACACGCCGATATCGATCGGGATCTCGGTCCGAGTGTACAGGTGAGGGTAAACACGCGGAACGGGGCCGTTAATTTCCCGGCGTTGCTTTTTCCGCGACGCCGAAGCGGAGGCAAAGATGGCGGCGCGCGGATCCACGGGCTGAGAGCCGTCAGACGATTGCTCGAGGAACTTTCGCGTAAACATGCTTTGAGATTACTTCCCTAACACTATCGAGGGAATTATCAATTAGAATTAATTAGCAATTAAGCCTGCCGGCGGACCAACTTGCCGCGAGTTACCCCGACGACGACGCTGCAAAGAGGGCGAGGGACTTTAGAGTCGTCGGATCAACCCGGCACAGCCTCCTCATTCAACTGGATTTCGCCTTGAGACGCGCTCAAGCACTCCTCGCAATAATCGCTGAGAAATTGTCTGTCGATACTCGGGGCTCTCCCTTCAAACCGGGAATCCCCGACGGGCCGGCTCGATAGCGCGGCAGATTCAAAAAATGGCAGCCGAGGATGAAGGATGAGCTTGAATCTCTCGCGACCTTTAACACGGAATTAATAACGCGATTATTCGTCGGTCGAGGAACAAAGGGGGATCGATGTGATCTCGGTGGATAAGTCGGTCCTGGCCAAAGTCATTCGGTATTCGTCACGCGAGCATCCGAGTCATAATTTCTCGTAGTGCAAAAACCGGTTTCCCCGTAAGCAAGTGACTCACGAATTTTCGCTGAGATTCCAGCACGACGTGGACGTGTTCGGTAACTCTGCGATCTCGAGGAAACGGCGATTCGCGGAGCCCAAGACTCACACTCGATACCTCTGATCCGCGCGTGATACAGAACGTGGCAAGGTCGTGCCGTCGAAATCAGGATGACTGTGAGGTGGATTTCCACGTAGCACGATGATTCACGAATTTTCGCAACGACACCCAGGCGCCTGGGAGCATAGCGATGAAAACTAGAGTCGATAACTAGTCGTGACGTCCGTGTCTTATCTACTAGGCACCTTTCTATTGTCGCGCAAAGATAGCGTGACGCGAATGCTCGGGTTCCTTTTGAGAGACTGCAGGTGCAACGGAACGGGTCCATCTGTTTGAGATTTTCGTCGTTTGAGGCTAATCATCGGTGGGAAAAACGCGATCTCTCTGACTCCCTGACTTTATGTCTTCGCGGCATGGTCGAATGGTAGCTAGTCTGACGCCTAGCAGCCGCAGGACAAAGTAAGAACGCGGTAGTCTGGATGAAAACGCGACGGCGAGAGAAACGTGAATGGAAGAAATAAAGCGGTGGCTGGGAAGAGAGATTAGGGCATGGAGAGGCGGAGGAACGCAGGAGAGAGAAGCGTTGAACTCGCGGCGAGGTCCCGAGAGGAAACTATTACTGCGCTCGCCGGTTATTCAAAGTGGGGGTGGCGATGGTGGCGATGGACTCGGTGACACGAAGAA